GTTAATCCTCTCGACGAGAATTTTATTGCGAATCGCTATTGCGACCACCTCCCCACCGATCGATACGAATGTTAATGAATTTTAATAAACAGCTTCCCCAGCTTTCCCCCTCCCCCAGGCGCGAATATTCGCGTAATCGCGCTGATAATTGAACAATTTGTCACCTCTCGAAAAAACCACCACTCTCGTCGCGTTTGGATTGTAATTTTAGAATTTCGCTCGAAAGGAGCGATTTGGCCGGATTTTTTGGCCGTTTCTCTCGAATTTTGATAAAACGGGCCGCTCTTCTTTTGGCATTCTTTGTCATCGAGAAATTTATGAATATATCGCGTTGACGATCGACAATGGTATTAATCCTCGAGAACCTCTCTCGTTGTTCGAATATAATTTTAAGTATGCTTGTGTGATTATTCTCGATATAATTTTTTTGAGCAGAGGGATGGAAAATTGAAAAATTTATTTATTTGTAAAATCGCGTTGAAATAAATATTCTGCACGAGTCTGGTCAATTCTCTGGACGAATTTCGACAACTCTTTTCGCAAAAAAAAAAAGAAATTACTTTAATAATTAAACGATTTAACTCTCGAAAAAAAACTACCCTCCCGTTTTCGAATATAAATATTAGATCATTAATAATTTTGCCAAAATTCAATTTTCTCCATTACAACTAAATAATTCTCTCAGATCGATCCTCCCCACAAAATTTATAATAAATTCCTTCTGTTCTGCGTATTACAAAAATTGTTCCTTCAAATTCTACAAATCCAACAGATTTTTTTTCCACAATTTCCTTATCCCCTCTCCCCCCATTTTCATACAAATATCTTCTCTTTTTCCCTCCCTCTTTCTCTCTCTCTCTCCTCCCCATATCGCGATCCCTTTCGACGATACGAAAAATTCAACGGCAATTCAGCTTTCCTCCTGCTCTGATGACAGGCGCGGGCGCGGCCATTTCCGCGCGTGTCATTTCCCCCCTCCCCCGATGAAAAACGCGCGCCTTTCCCGCTCTTTCCCTGCCTGCAATACATTTTCCATTATCGCTCGATCCCTCGCGCGCGATATCACGGGAATGTTATCGAATGTTGGCGTGGTCTGGAAATTCGCGGCGATCGTAGGTAACTTTTTTTTTTTTTTTTT